AAAAAAAAAAAAAAGGATAAAACAATCTCATAAATCAGGACTTCAGGTAAATGTTCAAACAGAACCAAAGTTGGTGGAGAGCTGCTAATACTAGTATTGTTTAGCCACATTGTTTACATTGCATTAATTCACTGCTATTGGTCAATATTGAACGGATTTAATTGCATCCATAAAAGACATTATTCGAGATTCATCCTTCCGTATTCCATCTGGGGCACAAATGCCGCTGCTTACATCAATCCCTGTCGGTTTTAGGGTCGAAAGAGCTTCACACACATTCTCGGGCTTAATCCCTCCAGCTAATAGCCATCCCCGTTTGCTCTTAATAGGCGGCAGCTTGAATCTAGACCAATTAAACCCTTTACCACTGCAAAGATTTCAAATAGATCGATAAATAATTGTGTTTCTACACAGTTTTTCATTCATAGCTTTTTCTCCCTGAGGATCAGAGCAATTGCAGGAGACCGCAGAAAATTTTCAAAACGATAGGATAGTTACTAATCTTTTGTGGTTTTTTTCTTTGGTAAATGTCCAAACCTCAAATCAAAATTCGAAAAAATAGACAGCTTTACAAGAAGTCGTGTACCTTCCACCTTGAGCACTATCGACAAGAATCCAATCAGCTCGAGAGCATTCTTCATCCGAAACATCATTCAAAAGAACCCCATTTTCATTCGCATGAAGAACATAAATCACTCGGTTTTCTTTCACCACGATCTCAAAAGCATCTCGCGAACCATTCCCATGGAGCTACATTGCCCAAACAAGAACAAAAACGAAACGATACGGTTATTTTAGAAACTAAAATAGAAAACTACTTAATGCATGCAAACTAGTATTTATAATAACCTGCACATATTCGAGGTCAGCTTCATTAGCAGCCCGTAATATTGTTTCAGCATCATCATCCACAAACACTCCAACGGGCTCTGCCCCATTTTGCCGGGCTACTTTCGAGATTTCTCTTGCGACCGAAAGTGAAATGGACCTTTTCGAGTTTGGCCAAATAATCATACCTATGAAATCTGCACCAGCTTTTGCTGCTAGAGCTGCGTCTTGAGGCGATGTGACCCCACACATTTTAACTAAAGGCTTATTTTCTTGAAGGTCCTCATGAGCAGCAGATGCTTTTAGTGAACAGTTTGAAGCACGTTTCGTTTTCGTGTTCAGAAAGCTTTGGTTTGCAATTGTAAATGAATTCAAACCCTCAGGCTGTAGACCTGTGTATTTGGTGGAAAGAGTCGCTCTTTTACTCATTACGTTCCTATTCTTTAAAAAATCGAGAAACCCCCCAAATTGGCTTACTATCTCGACATCTCGTAATAATCATAAATGCAGCATGACAAAAGATAAAACCAAGCAAAACTAATGGCAACTGAATAAGTATATTTGATTTCACACACGAGTTCTAGAGGTGAGCAACTGCAGTTCGGTCCGTACTCAACCACAAAAACCGAACTTATAAATAAAAATAACTTAATGTTAACGCAACATAATAGAGAAAAATCGAATCAAAACTGAACCCTAAAAAACTGAAAACCCAACCGAATTGCACGGTTCGACCCAGTATTGCTCCCACCTATTAGCAATACCATACAGAACACACGACCTTGAAACAAAATATATGAGTAGAAACTACAAAGATTCAATCTTTGACCTAAAACTCAGAGCATTGTTTCTTTTCCTATCCGAACTCTAATTTATGATCTACCCCAAGTTCAATATTTATCACCTCCAGGCTTCAATGCATTTCATAACATGAAAAAATATAATATCTAATTATGACAGTTTGCTGCAATACCTGAACATCTGTGCAAAGCGAAGGCTTTAGGCAGAATTTGGGCTCCCATATTCACAAATCACACTGGAGAAGGAAACTTAATGTTGTTGTAACTGTTATATATTGTTTAAATATTAATAAGACGAACAAAAAA